AAAAAAAAAAAAACGCGTCCACGCAACAAAAGTGGTGAAAAAAAAAACCAAACGTTAACCTGACGACAACCAAAACGTCTACTAAAACTTATTTCGAATCATCATGCCGCTTTCATATGCAAGACATTTCATCTGTAGCACTAACCTGCAGATCAATGCCGGCAAACAAATGCAAATTAGCAAACAGTAGCAGCGCTATACTTTCTGCACATCATTCAACGCCAAAGAAGAAAAAAAAAAAATTGTGCGCAGTGTTGGCGTACTGCTGCTGCTGCATACACACTGTGTGTCCACCAGACGACATTACAATAATCACAGTGACAACAAATGAAAAAAGTGCTCTCGTTAGCTTAGCTTACTGACGGTATTCTTTTGCTGTCTATTTTATATACAGACCTTTTATGCCACACACACACACACACACAAACACACACACACATACATACATACAAACACAGACCTTAGAATGCTAAGAAAAAAAGGAATAAAAATGGTTAGTTAGAAGTGAAATACAGTGAATTAAATTGTGCAAAAGAAGAGAATTTAAGGAGAGAAAAAAAAAAGAAACAACAAAAGAAACTAAAAATAACCAACTTTTTTCTTATAATTCAAACAGTAAAAAGGAAGAATAAAAAAACACAGGTATTGCCCATATGTAATATGTGTTCCTAATTCTTAAACAATATTTTCTATCACTTCTTTAGCAGTAATTATCAGGTCGTTTAATACAATAAAACTTTTTTTTAATCACCTTTAGCAGACAATAACATTTTTGAATATTTACATGTGACTAAGGTTTTTTTTTTTTTTCAATTAATTTACATTATTTATTCTTTCTTGTCGTCTTTTTTTTCGCGTTAACTTGTAAATTTTTTTTTTATAACAACTCATTAAGTATTTTAATGGAAAAATTATAAAATTCTTATAATGACTGCTTTTGTTGGTTACTCTACTATTAAGAAACCGAAACAAAAGAAAGCGAAGGAAGGCTGCAGGTATAATGAATCAATCACTCCCAACGTAATGGGTAGGCCAGTCGAAAGCCTCATAGAAATACCTTTGATTGATCAATAAATGGTTTATTTTAGATTTAGGCCTTCTATAACAATGATCTGCAGAAAACAGTTCCGGAGGATTCAAAATTTCTGTACACGTGTTACCGTTGAAAATTGGTAGATTTACCATTGGAAAGAATGATTCGACTTGTTGAAAATTTGTTATTCTTATCGGCTAATCTTTCTGTTTGGCTTACCGGCTTCTTTCCTCAACAACACGTCATTTTTAACTTATAAAATTTGCTGGTTATGAAAGCAATAAAACTAAAAATGAAAAATCGTCTTTATCATCAATGTCGGATTCATATTCATTAACTGTGCCCTAGTGGCTAATACGGTAATGAAATCAATATAATTACTTACTTTTAAAGGGAGTGTTTAATTTGTACTCCTTATCTTTCATGATTCTAAATGGCAAATTTTTTTTTTTATAAGCCGAACAAGATGGGCAGGTAAAAATTGACAAAATTAACCTTAAAGGCAGTTCCGAAGCACAGAACCAGTAAAAACTATCACATAGAAAAACTTGAACGAACGAAAAAAACTTTTTTATCGGTACAACTTTTATACGAAAAATTCATAAATGAGGTGTCAAATTATGACATAACAAAAACAGTTCCGCCGAATCTGCTTTACTGTTTACTGGTCCGCTGTACGTTTGGGTACGTAAAGGAAGAATTTTTTGGTGCAGAGAGTGATCCATGAGCCATCTGAACTAATGAAAATTTTAATTTATTAGAGCATTAACAGGTGAGGCAACTGAACATATAACAGCGTTCAGTGCAAAAATAGCAAAAAGTTGAACTTAACTGGTAACAGGTGCTTAATGAAGCCTTCTTCCTACTTTCTAAGGCCTCTCCAAATTGTCAGTTTTTGGTTTTACAGTCTTTGAACGGCGCTTAGCAAGGGCTCAGAAAGCAACATCGGTTGGTTAGCTTATACGTGTTGGTTGACATAAGAGGTAAGACGTAGTCCTTCTGTCGGATGTGATTCATCATTCAAATTTTTGAAGGGTTTCTTGCTTATACTATGGGAGAAAGAAGAAAAAATTTACAAGACTTGATACTGATGCTTTCACAGCTGCTAATTTTTACGGAACTCTGTTTATTGAAAGCCTTACTCTCTTGTACATGGGGAGTATGATTTCTTTCAGGTTCAAAAAAATAGGATCCAGTAAAACAGCAGTTAAAGAGTGAAAATAAAGACAGTAATGAAGAAATATCCTAAATGGGTGTGCTGGCTTTTATAGAGCATCAGTAAAATCAAATGAAAACTGTCTTGAACCCAAAGCTTTTGACAAAATTGTCAATGGATTGGAGTGGTCAACATAAAGCTGAAACTCTTCTAGTGTTTAGGGAAGAGGGTTAGTTTGAGTAGATCAAATAAAATATATAACAAAACTTTGAGGTAGCACTCTTGAATTCTAAACAGTAAAGTTTATAGTTAATGCGAAAAAGCAAAAAATTTGTAAGGTTATTTTGGGTTAGTCTATTTTGCAAAATAATGATTTAAAAAGAAGTGTCAGCATTTTGAGAAGTTTCAAAGTTAGAAAGCTCTCAGTAAGGAGGAACTGAAATGTTGTTAGAAGTAGAAATAAATCAAAAATTTTTTTTTATTTTTAACACCTCAGAAAAAAGCAGAAATAAAAGTGTCGGTGATAGTGAAATATTTGCGATGATTTCGACGTTAACCATAATTTTTGATAATTTAATAACTATAATCTTATTGTGTGTGGTGTGATCATTTTTGGCTGGAAAGTTAAACGTAAAGTAAACAAAAAAAGTGCCAACAAGAAAACTCGTATAAAAGTCGAAAAGGAAAGAAATTCAAAAATGAAAGAGATAATTTACTGTATGTAAGTTTTGCATAAAACTTTTAAGTTTATTTCTTAATTGATCTTGTTCGTAATGCAGGTTTCCTGTCAAAAAGAAGACTAGATTGCCTTAGTTTTATCAATTACGAGAACATTTAACATAACCTGTATAAAATTTTTTAAAAAAGTTAATTGTTAAACTTTGAAGTAGCTTTATCTTGCAGTTGAATGGAGAGCACCAAAACTACTTAAAAAACTCTTTTTCAAGAGCAAAAAAACTTTTTGGTGTTTCTGAACCGCAGTAAAAGTTTTATGCTCAATCGTTTTGAAAAAATTTCAAAAATCACCCAATTTAAGTTGTGAGAGAAACAATAAACGTCTTGTTAATTTGTGGCAAAGGCTAGCAAATAATTAGAATTGGGACTTAAGACCAGGTTTCAGAAATTTTTTGATTAAATGCAGCACTAAATGGTTCGTTGAGCCGATCTGCTAAAAAACAACAACACTTCAAAATTTACAGTTTGGAAGGTTAAACAAAGGGGGTAAGTGGCCGTACTTGCTGGTGCTGTCGTGGAGGTTCTAGTTTTTGGCTACACAGACAGTCCTCCGTAAAGAACAGGAAAAAGCAGCATAGGGGAATGGTAAGCACAAGGAAGAACAAAAAGAAAAGTATCGAGAATATCTTAATAATATTCTTGCTACCCCACCTGTTTCGTAATTACAACATCGGTGTAAAAAGAAACCAGGAGTTTTAGTGGTGTTTTGGCAATAAAAGTTTTACTTTCCTTTTATATCTGTTTCTATCTTATCTTAGTCGTCTTCATTGTTTAAACACTCTAACAGTTTTTTCTTCGATCAACATCGATTGGTAACCATTTACTATGTTGATAATATAGATCTGTAGTGTATGCTTAAACGTAACATACTGGCCAAGGACAGTATTGGCAATCGTCGTTATATTAGTAATGTCACTATTGACAAATCTCTCTCAAACACAATTCTAAAGTATAAACAGTTGATAACTTCAAGAAGGTTTAAGGAACTGATAAGTACACGTTATCTCTACCGCAGTATTCAGTGAACTATTGGCAGATGAGATGCTAGA